AATACTATGCTGAAAAACGCCGACAGGGTAGATTTACTACTAAATAATTACAATTTATAAATTTTCGTCGGTGAAAAGGTCAGAGATGGCTCTTATGAATTATTTATTTTCCTGGAAAGAATTGCCAAGAACGACGACAACCTTCTGTAAACAAAATAACAGTATCAGAATACGTAATGGGTAAATGAATAATTTGTCAGATAAATGTGGATAAATGAGTAAAATTGCTTGCTTAAAATATAAAAGCAGACGTAACTTTTAAATAATGCGATAAGTAAATTGGTTAATAAAATAATTTAAATATAATTTTGTACCTTTTTTGTAATAATGGGATATTGTGACCTTTTTCTATGACTATTTTGACTCTGTTTTTGTCCGACCAAACTTGGAGCATGTGTCAATTCAGGAATTAGAAATTGTAATAATTCTATTTGAACGTAAATTCTACTAAATAAGAAGAAAATAAGAAAAGTAACAATATATTTGAAAAATATTAACTTCAATAAAAGCGCAGGTCCAAATGGAATACGCCCGCTGTTAATCCGACATTGCGCTGTTACTTTTATTTTCAAATTGTCATTTGGTAATGGCAGTGTTCCTAAAATTTGGAAAAGGGCATTTGTAACACCTATTCCAAAGGATCCTGTGAGTCAAAACACTGAAAACTATCGGCCCATCTCGAAACTATGTGATTTGGGCAAAGTTCAGGAGATAATTATCACTGACCAGTTACTTAGTGTTGTACAGCGTGTCACCATCCCAAATCAGCATGGTTTTTGCTAACGTCGTTGTGTGAATAGCAATATACAGACGTTTACCGAACTGATTCTAGAAGCAATGGACAATAATTTTCAAGTATATGTCGTGTATACATACCGATTTTATAAAACTTTCGATAAAATTTGTCACAACACGCTCTTGTTGAGACTGTGGCAGCTCTGTAATCATGGGGACGTATTCCGTTGGATAAAATCGTATATCGGAAATCTTAGTAGTGTTGTAGTGACTTCATTCGAAATACAAGATTATACCGATTATACTTCAGGTGTACCACAGGCTTCCCATTTGGGACCATTTTTATTCGTGTTATACTTCTATAACATTACAGAGTCTATGCAACGTTCACGTGTTCTTATATATGTTGATGACACTAAAATATTTAGGATTATTCGTAACGAAGAAAAGGTTCATTAGTTGCAAGAAGATATTAGAGCTTTCGAAAATTACTGTGCTCAAAATAATCTACTTTGAAATTGTGATAAATGGATTATTATAGATAACTTGCGTTTGTCACACATATTGATAAAATAGTGCCAGTCTTTCAAACTTTACATTAAGTTTTATATTAGGTAAGTGTTGGTAAACCCTTTATCATTTTTTCTTCTTCTTCAACCCATTTACCTATCTGCTGCTGTTTTTTAATAGTTACGTACGTAGCAGGCTCGAGTATCTAAACTCTGTATGAAATCCCTACCAAAATGTGCACCAAAATAAAATGGAAAGGATACAGCGTAAATTCATTAAAGTTCTGGACTATAGAATGCATCATAATCATGTAGACTACGAGTTATCCCTTAAGTTGTGCAATATTGTTCAATTGCAGCATCGTTACACAAAATTTTGCATGAGATTATAGACGCCCGCTTTTTGCAGGAAAATATATTTTTTGATTGCCGCGAAATAATAGTCGTTAAATTTAGTAAAAAAAGTTCCGGTAGCAATACCTTCATAAAAAAACTAGTTCCTTATACAATGCAAAATGTAGTGAAGTTGAAATATTTTACTCTTCTTTGCAGGAGTTTAAAAGCCACATCAACAAATCAAATTTCAAAACAGATTTTCAGATTTGTGTTCATCATTAGTTGTTCAATCTTTCTTTGTTTTGTTTAACTATATTACAATTTTTTCATTACTTACACCTCAACAAAAAGAAAAAATAATAATAATCACATGTGGACATACTTCAAAAGTCCTTTTATCACATGCAAGTCATAAAAATTATATGAATTACATGAAATAAATTATAAATATACTGTGAAATTTTATAACTCTCCTATTTAAGCATAAAAAATGTAGAATCTTTAAACCTCTACCCTGAAAAGTTGTGATTTTGCGGATGAGGCATTTTACACCAAGACAAAAGTGCGGATTACGGTACCGAAACAGTATTTAATTTTAATGTTAATTATAGTGGAATAGTAGGTCACTTTTAAATAATAAATAACAAATAACGCACACACCCATAGTTTCGTACTAGGAAAACCCTGTATCGCGGATGCCATGAACACACACATGGACAACCACAAATTACACCCAAACAGAGAAATAAATGTGGGCCATACAAATTTTGCGTGGCAGACTAGACAGCCAGACCTTTCGGCCATGAAGGGAGTACCTAACGATGATGCATATTTGTTCGTAAAGCATGGTACTTACACACATTAGGCGGTAAGTTGTTTGCCCCAGCATGTTAACACTTTGTACAAGCTGTGTTATTATTGAATTACATTTTTAAACAACCTCTTCAATGCAAGTTAAGAGGGTCATGTCTTTTTGATAGAAGAGAACGATTGAAAAATCGATTTCCGGGGAACTCAATTAAAGATTCAATTTCCGTTACAGACGACAATGTAGACGTCTTTTTTAGCTACCAACTGCGAGCTACAATAAACTTTAAACGTGTATTATGACAACCCATCCAAGTCACACCAAGTTTTTTTATGATACTAAGTGGCAGGACGAACTAGTCGTGAGCCTGTTGTTAAGCAACGCGCCTGTCCATAGCAGTTGTAGTGCCACTCAAAAATTTTAATCGCAAAGATATGAGGGCCACTGCCACTGCGCCTGTCAACCTGAAACATAAGTTGAAAAGTCCTATGTGTCCTTCAAACCGGAATGCAGTAATGCTTACATTACTGCTTGGCGGCAGAAATAGGTAAGGTAACAGTACTTTCCCGGACAAAGTCTTTCGCAAAAAGCTCTACTAGTAAATTGACCATATAAATAAAACAACAGTAATCACATACCACGTGCAAATTAACAAAAAATATTCACAGAAAAATATGATATATTTTAATTGTTTTTCTGTTTATGTTAAATTCAAATTCAAAATTCAAAATAATCTTTATTTCATAGGTAAGCATTATTACACTTGAAATCGTCACAATATTAAACTCTATCGCTCATTCGTAATGCAGATTCCCCTGAGAAGAATGAGCAAGAAACTCTAGGTGTTGCTCTTTGTAAATAACATTTACCATATTTTTTTTTTATTTGAAACATCAGAGATCGAGACTACCTTCATGAGCTAAACGGGTTACTACCACGGATTTTTGTCATCCAAGTACGCAGAAGTTGTATAATAACCTTTAGTATAAAGTTTTTGTTTCACTATAGTTTTAAACCTCGTGAAAGGCAAATTTTGTATATCAACCGGAATCTTGTTACAGAAGCGTATACATTGCCCCTTAAATGATTTTTTGACTTTGTGAAGACGACTATCAAGAAAAGCTAGATTATTTCTATTCCTCGTATTAATGTTATGTCTGTCACTATTTTTCATAAATAAATTACTATTCCTTTTAACATAAATTACATTCTCATAAATGTACTGTGAGGCTAGTGTAAGAATGTTAATTTCCTTAAACTTATCTCTCAAAGATACTTTGGGGCCCAGATTGTAAATTGCCCTAACTGCACGTTTCTGCAGGACAAAGATTCTGTTGATATCGGCGGCATTACCCCAAAGCAAAATGCCGTATGTCATTAGACTGTGAAAGTAGCTGAAGTAAACCAATCTAGCGGTTTCGACGTCTGAAAGTTTCCTTATTTTTTTAATCGCGTACACTGCAGAGCCGAGCCGTTTTGATAACTTACTTATATGGGGACCCCATTGCAATTTAGCATCTAACGTTATACCTAGAAATATAACTGTATCCACAAGATTCAATTTTTCGTTTCTAACTACAATGTTTGTAACCGTCTCTCTAACATTGGGTAATATTACACAGTAATTTCACACAATTTGTTTTTTTCTCATTAAGAAGTAGGTTATTAACAGCAAACCAATCAACTACTTTAGATATAGCATTGTTCACATCGTCGTAGGAACATTGGTGCCTTTTAACTTTAAATAATAAGGAAGTATCATCAGCAAACAATACTATCTCATGTTTTACACCCTCCAGTTGCTAATTTAATACAGAGATAGCAAATTATTTTTGTAGCAAGTGTGATGGGATGCACGTGTATAAGTACAATGGATATTGGAAATTCCGGGCTTCATTTTCACTAGAACTGATTTTCTTGGTCTTCATGACCGACATACATTGTACAGACATGCTACCACGACAGGACGCGATAGGCGACATGGTCCGCTGTCGTGCTCGTGAGTCGAATTCGTGTTACGTATCATTCTTCAAGTTTGTTAACTATTTAATATAAATATTTTTTTCAAATAATTTGAAACACTTCTCCGATACTCTGATTATATTACGAACCTTCACTGTTAAAACAAATTAAGGTTTAAACAAAATTTTACTTAAATTTGTATTTAATGGTTTTTTTTTTTGTGATATTTTCCATTTATAGGACTTATAATTTTACTTGTTATAAATATGTTGAAGCAATACAGAGACAGCAGTAAAAGTTACAAGCCACAAGATGAGTGACTGCTGTGACGGAAATTAAACAGCTTCTTGGTGTTGCTTAATTTATATATTACTACTTGATACAACATGTGTTCACTAAATATAGCAGTCAGTATCTTGAGTAAATCACATCATACGTTTAGAATGAAAATGATCCAACAAGAAATCCAAACATTTTGAAAATGCGCAAAATAAGATTTAAAGGTGTGACATTTTCACTTTTTGTTAATTTATTACTCTGGAAGTACTAAAGATAATGCTCTTGTTAGTTGTAGAAAATAATGATTAAACATTTAGCTTTATAACCCAAAAAATTAATTCTGCTGCGCGTCGACGCGCATTGCCATTCAGATGACGACAGGCAACGGGCAGTGCGCGCAAACACTTGCAGTGAACGACAACGTGCGATCATCTGTACTAGTGTATGTACACTGCCTCAAACTGGAAATTAAGCAAGTATGTTATTCCAACCGGTTGACCTATCTATTGAATCTTTTCAAATTATAGTATAGTTTCGTTTACTAAGTGAAGGAGAGGTTGGAGGATACTGCAGAAGCAGAAGCAGAAACAAAAGAATCAGCAGAAGCAGAAAAAGCAGAAGCAATAGAGCAGAAGCAGCAAAAGAAGGAGCAGCAGAAGAAGCAGCAGCAGCAGAAGCGGAAGCAGCAGAAGCTACAGAAGCAGGAGCTATCTAAGCAGACGCGCCAGAAGCAGAAGTGACGGAAGCAAAAGCGGCTGAAACAGAAGCGGCAGAAACAGAAACGCCAGAAGTAGAAGCGGCAGCAGCACATGCGACAGAAGCGGCTGAAACTGAAGCAGCAGAAACAGAAGCATCAGCAGAAGGAGCAAAAGAAACGGAAGCAGCAGAAACAGAAGCAGAATCAGCAGGAGAAAAGGCATCAGAAGCAATTGAAACAGAAGCAGCAGAAGAATAAACAAAAAAATAAAAAAAGATCAACTGTATTTTCTTTTTTTTCAAGCTCAATTAATTTGTTTACCTTCTATTTCTCTAAGAAATGTCGCTTCTTGCAGCTTATTGAAAAAAATCCGTTAAGACTATTTTCATCTAATTAACATTTACTTTTTACCGCATATCATTTCTGCCACGGTCGAGTAGAAGTAGAAGACGTTCAATTTCAATATACATAATTTTACTAATATAGCATAGTACGACCCGGTTGTTTGCGGGACAAAAAGAAGAACAAGGTTTAAAATAAAAAAAGCATAGAAAGTAACAATATAAATTCATAAAAATTCGCACCTTTGTTGTAATAAGGTCACTTCTGCGAAAAGACAATTTTTCAGGAGAGAGATTTATAGATTTTACTAACGAAATTAATCGTTAACTTTTTTATGCTAAAGAAGAGAGTTATAAAATTTTACGTGTAGGTACATAACTTATTTCAAGTAAGTAGTTAGTGTTATTTATAAGAATTTCAAGTGATAGAAGTTCTTTTGACGTATTCCTTGCTTTTGACTCTGGACCAAAGGTATGAATACAGAAAATGTGAAATTAAATTAAGTCTATTAATAGTATTTAACCAAATTAAAAACCTTGTTCGTGTGCGTAGAGGAGACAAATTTTAGATTATTTATAATTATTTTTTAGAATTTCACAATTATTTATTCTATTGTATTATTAAGTTCTGTCGATGTTCCTAACTGTCAAAATCAACGTGCTATCTTGGTTCGATTATATGGTTTACCGCACATGAGTTTACTCGATGATTTCTGATAACACTCGATGCCTCCGGGTCATAGTAATTACTAATTAGACAAAGTACTTATTCAATGAGGGAAATCACTGACAACTGTAGTATAAATATACAAAGTAAGGCACAATTTTCAATTCTGGGGTAGCTGACAAACCTTTTAATTTAATTTGAGACTAGAAAAATTAACAATTTTGTAGCAGTAGAGCTCCTTGTGAAAGAGTTCGTTTAGGTAAGTACTATTTCTGCCGACAAGCAGTAATGTCAGCATTATCCGGTTTTGAAACGTAAGGGAGTTGGTGAAACTACAGGCACATGGGGCTTGTCAACGTATGTATCAGGGTAACGGGCGCAGTGGCAGTACCCCTCAGATCTTTGTGATTCAAAGCTCTTTGTGGCATTGCATAAGGAGTGTCGCTTACCACCAGGCGTACGAATTCTTCGTCTCGTCACTTGTTTTATTTTTAAATTAACATTGATAATAGAAAAAACGTTCCAAATATTTGTCAACATTGTGAAAAGTGCAAAGTGTGAAAAGCTCAGAAACTCGTAAAGAAGCAGTGCAAATAAAAAATTAGTTTGTTTAAGTCAGTTTCACCGAGAGCTAAAACGGGTTTGCGCTAACCGAATTGCAAATAAAATGCGCTCGTTGCCACTAATAATTAGTTCTTTCGTCTACAAAAACGTTTGCATTTTACATATGTAATATGCACGTGCTAAATATTTAGTAATCTGCTGGAAATCATAGAACTGGAAAAATATGTGTGCTAGTTCTTACTTTGAACATCGCAGGCTGTAGCTGAATATCAGCGGCGGCGCTGAAGAACACTCCGTCATTGTGCTGAGCTACAAACGTTTTCATTTCTCACCACTATAGTCAGTTACTTACTAAACGCTTTGTGTAAAGTAGGTTATATTTATTTATTGATGAGTTGAGATAAATAAACGATTTTAGTTTCAGTAGACTCCCTGTGAAAGATATCGTCCAGGGAAGTAGTGCTACCTTATCCAATTGACTGTTACTGCGTTCCGGTTTTGAAGGATAAGGGTGGTGGTGAAATTGGCACATGGGTCTTGGCAACTCATGTCACAGGCGCAGTGAAACAATTAAGGACTATAAGCGTGCACAGCGCACGAACAGAAAAAGTTGACACAAAAACTGATATTTTAGGTTTAGTAACATAATTTCAGTAGATAATACTGACTGTTACTTTAAGATAGTAAAAATACATATTTAGCTTCTTTACGATTTTATTATATTAATATTAATTGTAACTGAGTATGAATTAACAACACAGAAACTCGTCAGCAATAGAATTATCCCGACAAACTTTTAGGAGTTTGGAACTACCTAGGTAGTACTGTTATTATTTAAAAAGAAACATTAATAACACTCAAACTCGAGTGACAAACGTCATTTTAAAATTTTATCACAATGGCTGAAATTGCAAGCGCCGTGACGTCATATTTTTGTCGCATCGCGAGCGCCGCGGCCAATGGCTGCAAAAGAATATCGCAGTGTCAAACATGGTCATAAGTCACAGCTGATTTTAACACATTTTGACAGTTCTGCACAGTAATTTTATCAACGTAAAAATTGAGCGCAACAAACAAGATAAAAAGAAATAAGAAAAACAAACAACAATTACAACGCGCTCACACTAATAGCCCCGCACTAGAGAAACGCTGTATCGCAGGTGCCATGCACACACACATTGACAACCACAAATTACACCGAAACTCACGAAAAAGATAATTGTAGGCCAAAGAAATATTACTTTCGGCCTGCGAATCGAATCCGGGACCTCTGCGTGGCAGACCAGCATAGTAACTAACCGTTCGACCACAGAGGCAATTAAAAGATAGATAGTTAAATTTAAAAAATATATTTACTTATTATTAATGAGTCTCAAACGAGCCTCTACGTATTAAACTATGTGCGCACGCAAGCTTCCCGAAGGCCCGGGTCGTTTTGACCCGGGAGAGCCACTTACCAATTACCTGGTCTCAAAATAATGGAGAGGGGAGCAACGAGGCTAATGAGGTGTAGTTAAGCGCGTCATAACAAAAGAACAAGATATTAATCTGCGAAAGGTTTTAGGGTGCGGTAAAAATGTACAACATACAGTTTTAATAAAAGTTCGTGAATGAAAAAAGGACCAAGGAAATGCGTACCAGAGTAATGTTGTCAATACAAAACCTACTATATCATTTGGACCGGAACAATCTTGATAGGTTGTTTTCTAAATTATTCGTACTGGAATCCCACATATCATCTAGTGTTTTCCCTTTTTTTTTTTCATTTCGTTTAGAGAAATCATTACATAAATCATTTAATGCTTTCACTTTACTTTGTAACTTGAGAAGTTAGTAAATGTTAAGTGTAAAATGAGTTAAAGAGAAGCTTTTAAGTCCTAATTGCTTTATAGACTGTACTTTTCAGCGAGTTTGTTTCTACATAGTTATTGAGTTATTGGGTTTTCGCGATTGATACATATCGATAATGAAACTATATTTTCTGGATTTAAACTCTTAACAGTGGGTGTGACCTGTGATTTCTCAACATGTAATATTTATTTGTTATGCAAGCTGCAAAGTTGTTGTTTGACGCGAAAGCTTGTATTGAAACCTGAGTAAGCGAATGATGCTAAGGGTCATATTCCAGAACATGACTCAAGTATCGCCGTGATCATCAATCAACGAAGCATTATTTGAGCATTAAATCAAGTCTTAAGAATTTCGTTTATTCTTGAATAGTACCCAGTGCCGTACTCAGCTGAACTTCACTCAAGTTTGAGTTGGGATATCCATGGTTCTATGCTATTTCCGTTCATTCATCCGTATTTGTCTATTAATAATTGATTGTATCGCCTCAGTTCTCTTTGCCTTTCACATAGGAAGAATTTTAACATTGTCAAAATCAAATACGGTACGCTGAAATTTGCTATTGGAAAAGAAAATTATTTGTTACGCTGATCGAACGGCATATGATAAACTTACAGTGGCGGCGATGTTCGCTATAATTCCTAAATTACTTCGATAATACTATTGGAAATTCTTAAACGAATGCAGTGCTATTATTTATATGTCTATCACCAAAACAAAGCTTGTATTATTGAAACTACCCAGATTTTAACTTAGAAGTTTAAATTATAACATTCTATTTAAATTTTTATTGAATTGATATTCAATTATTTTTATGTGAAATTACTCCACTAGTTTGTTATAATTATTAATACAAAGATCGAACACTCAGAAAAAAATCCTTCGAGGCCGGCCGGATTGATTGGTTGTTGGTCAAAGTCAAATAATCAATTATTCCATTGGTAAAATATCACACTTGAAAACGCCGTTTTATAAGCTACTTTCAATGTAAGTTTTAAACTTAGGCAATCTTAACATACACTCCGGAATCATATTGTAATAAAAACATGTACCTACAGTTCCCCATAATAGAATCGTTAACTTTAATAATCCCGTACATACAAACGTAAGCAAACCAGAATCTGTATTTCAGCACGATTGGGTAACCACGATTGTCTGATATCGCTCAACTGATATGATAGTTTAAATTAACTTTTTTATCAAATCTTGAACCTATATTGTTGTTTAAATCTGTGTTCCTCCATATCGTACAGGTCTTGTAGGTCTTTCGAGAACCGAAGCTATTGAGTATGATATTCACCATTGATATATTTAGATAAAGATCAAAATTCTCAAATAGTTTCATCGTAATGTTTTAATTTTTTCGCCGATTATTATGTACTCAAGCGCAACCAGGACCTCACTCAAGTAAATACAGATTTTGACAACACTCAACACAAGATTTTACTGTCGAGTGCCGTTTAGTAAACAGCAAAACTGAAACGAAGCACTGTTCTAAAATTAAGACGCAAACTGACACTTCCTCTGACGTTACTCAGGTGAACTCCTATTACAAATTCTACGCTTGAGTAATGTTGTCGAATAAAAACTCTGCTTGAAATCATACTCAAGTCCTGATTTGAGCATTGAGTAGAGTTCTGGAATACGACCCTAAGATTCCTAAGAATCTTGAGCGCAGTGAGGGTTTCAGGGCGCGAGACGCAAAAGAACTTTGCTGCCGAGCGAAATTCACAACTTTTCACCTCACTATAGCGAGGAAAATGGTAGATGAAAGAAAAACAGTTTAACTATAACAAACAAAATTAGTTATCGTCGTCAATTTAATGTCAACAATAAAA